TTCTATTGTGACAAATTTAATTTTTCTCAAAAATATTTTTGTCACTATTAATAGCTTTTTCGTGACAAAATAAATAATCATCACATTAAGTTAAAAAAAGATATACAATTATGACAAAACAAAAATCGTCATATAATCTGTCACTATTAGTAAATGTGTAATATATGGTGACAAAATAAATTTATTACCGATTTTTTTCACAAATGTTTCCCTCCATTTTTTTACGCCAATTAAACTCTTATAGTGACAAGTTTGTAACTAAAGTTTTAGTGAACATGAAAAAAAATTGGCACAACAAATAATGAGATTTAGATATGTTGTGACAAATTTTATTTGTACTTATATGTTTTAATTATTGTGACAAAATGATTATTTCCAATTTTTTTTGTATAAAACAAAATCATATAGAAACATGTTTTGTTACTATAAGCTATAATTATTGTTACAAAAAAATTTGTCACAAAAAATATTGAGATGCAAGTTTTAAGTGAAAAATAATGTTAGTACTTATATTTTATTATTATTGTTGTTGTTGTCATTATTTGTTTCTTTAATTTAGAAGATATATGTTAAAATTTATTTTAAAAGGATTTCAAATATATTTTTTATAATCAACAACAAGTTGGTCTAGTGGGATGAAGCACTAGATCCCTTAAGCATGGTCAGGGGTTCGAATACTGGCATTTGCGAATACAACAAATTGGGTTGGGAGGGTTGCCCTCGCTTCTGCAATATCCGATCTAGATTAGTCGGTCAATAGATTGGATACCAGTGATTAATTCAAAAAATTTATTTTTTATGAAATTAAAATTACTCTTAATAATATTATTAAACAATATCTTTTTAAAAAATAAATAAATAATTTTAGAGGGAAATTTCTCTCTTTTTTTTATATGAAAACTTATTTGCTATATATATTTAAAGGGTTTTAAATATAAATTTTATGAATTTAAAATTTCTCATAACTTATCTTAATAAAATAATAATAATAACAATAATATGTTTTTTTAAATAAATAAGTAATTTGGGAGGGAAATTTCCCTCCATCTTCTTTTAAATAAAAACTTATTTTTATTTATTGTAAATATTTTTTTCAAACTCTAATTATAGTTTTCTTTGACGGTTTTAAACCATTTCCCAAACTTTTTTCTTTATTCTTTCAGAAGGAAAAAACCAAAACAGTGAGTTTTTTTTTATATATTTGATTTAAACTTATTTGATCTATAATTTGTGGTTTATACTTGTGTTTTTTTCTAGACAATTATGCATAAAAGCAACTGAGTGAGAGCGGCCTCATTGACTATGGAAATCATAGTTAGTAAAAGCAATCAAAATCCAATGCAAATGATAAGCCAATGAACATTCAAGGTAAGAGAGATAATGATTTGTTTTATTTTTAACTATTGATTTTTTTTGGCTGCTAATTTTAATTTTTTTTTTTTGCCAATGTTATGAAAATTTTAAAGGAAAACATGTTTTTTTTCTTGTGTAACATGATCTTTCTATTTAATCAATCCCATTTTTTTTGTTCATCAATTTGTTTCAGTTTTACTCTCTCGGTTTTAAGGTGAATCAATTTCAAATTTTCTAGTTAATATTTTTTGGTGCTGTTTGGTAGCTAAGAAAATGTAGGATAACTGAAAAATGTTATGGTGTTGTTTGGACTGTTTTTTTCTCTCCATGTTTTTAGGTTCATCTCCAAGATTTTTTTGGGGTATAGGATTAATTTTCATTTCTATCTAATACTTATTTACTATAATATTAATAGGTTGAAAGAATGTTATTTTTCATTAATCAAAATATTGATATTTTGTTCAATCAAAATTCAATAAAATCCAACTTGCAAAATGTGCCAAGCGAGCAACACTAATCGAACCATTTGATAATGAAGATAAGTTGTTTACAACCAAATAAATTTATGTTCATTTTTTATATTTTATCTTAAATATTACATTTAATATAATCATATATTTACATCTATATGTGTACAATCAATGAGTTGAAATAAAATCAAGATGTTCTCCAAAGTTAGATTCAATGTATGCTTCAAATATTTAGAGAAAGCCCATGTGCTTGAATATTCAAGGTAATATTAAAATTTAATTTTTAATAATAAAATATATTATATATGCCATTTTAAAAATATTTATTAACAATTTAATATAATTTATTTTTTTTTGTATTCAAATGTAGGTGTGGAGATTTATTGATCATCATGGTGGACTTCATTTTTTTTATTTCTAGAGAGCGAATTTATGTTTTCAATAAATTTCGTTCAAGACATTTTATATTTATTTTAATGCAATTTAATTAGTTTTATTATTATAAATATTTAATATTAGTTTTATTATTATAAGATTTATAACAAATATTAATTTTTTAATATAAAAATTATGTAAAATAATATTTTTGTAATAAAAATTGTAACAAATCTATTTAGTCATAACAACATATTAAATTTAATCAAAATAAAAAATTATGCCAAATTTATTTAGTCACAATATTTTCTTAAAATAACTAATTATGACAAATTTATATAGTCATAATAACAGTTATTTGTAACTAATTGTAACAAATTTATTTAATCATAATAATATATTATATTTAGTCAAAATAAGAAATTATGTCAAATTTATTTAGTCACACTATTTTTCTCAAAATAATAAATGATGAAAAAATTATTTAGTCAAAATAACAATAGCAAATATTAATTTCTCAATATAAAAATTTATGACAAATAATATGTTTTCACAATAATAAATTATAACAAATTTATTTAGTCACAATATCATATTAAATTTAGTCAAAATAAATAATTATGTAAAATTTGTTTTGTCACAATATTTTCTCAAAAAAAATAAAAACATTTGATAAATTTATTTATCATAATAAAAAATTATAACAAATGTTAATTTTTCAATATAAAGAATTATGAAAAAATATATTATTTCACAATAACGAATTATAAAAAATTTATTTAGTCACAAAATGTTTTATAAGAAATATTTAGTGACTAAATAAAAGTAGTGATAACTTAAATTTTGTTGTAATATGTCTTTTTGTTCCAAAATTTTTTTTGTTCGATGTTATAATTTAAGTTAATTGTGACAAAATTTTACTTTTGTGATAAATACATATTTTATTTCAACAAATATTTTGACTTTGTAATTTACATTTAGTGACGAAATAGAAACAACGAGAAAATAATTTTTGTTGCAATATATATTTTCGTCACAAAAACCCTTTATATTTGATGTTAAAATATAAGTTAATTATAACAAAATGTAATTATTGTGACAAAATAGTTAATTGATAGTGACAAATGTTTTATCATGATAAGTTAATTATAGTAACAAAATTTTATTGTTACAATAAATAATATAAAATGGTAACAAACACGATTTCGTCATAATATACTTTATATGACAAGGTTGTTCTAACAAACATAGTAACAAATAAAATTGATCAAGATATATATATCTTGACAAATTTAATACTTCTAGTGATAAATAATTTTGTTGAAACAATAGAAATTTCTTGTAGTGTCTTATTACGGGACATAGTATTTTTTTGTTACCCTCCCGATTCCAAGACTTCACCTTGACTAATCCGAACTGACCACGTCACATACTTGACTCTGGTGGGTGAGTCTCCCGGTAAAAATTTTCTGCATACATAAAGACTCTTGATTCCTTACTTAAGCGATATCAAGCTGCATACCACTTGAACCAACTCATGTTAGTATTAACATAATATTATAGTCTGATTATATATTATAAAATTATAAAATAAAAACTAAATGTCACTTATAATTTGCTTTCTCACTAGTGTGAAGTTCAGGAAAAAAAACCTTATGGATGAAAAAAATTATTAAATTAATAGATAAAATACAAAATAAAATAAAAAGGTTTATTAAATGCTGTAGTCATAGAAATTCAACCGAAAATATATTAAAATAAAAACACTGAATACGTCAGGAGCTAAAAAATGTGAAACATCCGTTAATAAATAATATATATTTAATAAAAAAAATTAAATAACGTTTAGCACGTAAAGTATTAAATAGTTATTTATTTTTTCAAACGATGCCATACCAGTTTGATAAATATTTTTTGTGCAAGCAAGTTCTCTCATAAGTCATAAATGGAAACCTCTAAGAAATATATAAATTAATTAATTAAGCTGTAATATAGTATTTATATATGTTTTTTAACTTAATTATACGTATATTCTGACACCTCATCATTCAAAGATAATATTAAATACAAACTTATGTTGCATGTGGAGGATGTTTTATTTATATAATACATTTATTAATAACTTCATTAAACTATTCCTTTGTCCTTACTAACTCTCCACTTTTCCTTCATGATTAATAAAATATTTACCTTCGATTAATCGTGCTATTTAATCTAAATAATAAGTTAATCGTTATAGTAATTATTAAACTTTGTTAAAAATAATTTAACCGTTATAAACAATTTAGTTATAAGTTAACTTATAACTTATTATAATTTTTTTTCAAAGATAACACAATGAGAGTTTCAAAGTTTTATAATTCATACTATAAAATACATCCTCATTAATCATACTACAATGTTTAACACATTGCAATTAGTAATAATCCAGTACATTATCAAAGTTTTTAAGATAAATTTTTAACAAACATATAAAACATAATTATAATTTATTAACGGTAGTCAAAATTCATAATTGTTAACCGTCAATTTTAGCGCTTCAATTAACCCAAATCATTTAATTTTAACTGTTACATGAATTAACCTAATATGATGGCTATATGAACACCATAATGGTTAGGTGCTTGTGCGGCTTTAAACTTGTCAACCTCCGAGTGCTAGCACGTTTTTATATTGAACAAACAATTTTTAGAAGTAGTATAAAATCCATTGAACCTGAACTTCAACAAAACATAAGACAGCCAGTTTCCATTATACGTTTAAGCTTTCAGTTTATACTGTTTCATTGCAATTGTTGCAGCAATGGAAGTTCATATTACTTCAAAGCAAATGGTTAAGCCCTCCTCTTCAAAACTTCATCTCTTGACACCATTCAACCTTTCCCTTTTAGACCAACTCGCTCCAGGAGTGTACACTCCTGTACTCCTCTTTTACGCTAAACCTAGTGATTCCAATGTCGACGGTTCTCAATTCTCAGACCAACTAAAACAATCGCTCCCGAAAGCTTTAACTCAGTTTTACCCTGCTGCTGGTCGGGTGAAGAATAACCTTTTCATTACTGATTTCGACGAGGGAGTTCCATATGTTGAAACCAGGGTGGAAGGCCGACTATCTGATTTCATTGAGCCAACTCAAAAACTAGAGGAAATGAACCGAATGCTTCCTTGTCGACCCTTTTCCTATATTCAAGATTCAACAGCACCCCAATTGGCTGTTCAAGTTAACATCTTCGACTGCGGTGGGATTGCACTAGGTTTGTGTTATTTACACAAGATTTTCGATGCAGCAAGCATATCTGCTTTCCTTAAAAGTTGGGCAGCTTTCAGTCGTGGTTCGAATGGTGAAATATCAGATCCTGGACTGTTAGGGGCATCGTCACGGTTTTTTCCTCCGGTTGAGTCAATGCCGGAAAATGCTGATTGGAAAAGCTTGTTCTTCAATGGCGGTGGGCGTAAGATAACAAGGACTTACGTGTTTGATGCTAATGCGATCTCGACTCTTAAGTTGATAGCGAAAAGCAAAAGCTTGGAGCATCCTTCCCGAGTATTAGCTGTAAGTGCATTCGTATGGAAGCATGCCATGCAGGCTTCTCGATCAGTTTCAGGAACTCTAAAACCAACTATTTTATGCCAACCAGTGAACCTTCGACCAAAATTTAAGCCCGCCTTACCGAGTTATTCAATTGGGAACATGTTTTCAATGGCAAGTAGCATGTACAACCCAGTTGGAAAAGATATTGACTTGTCTGAGTTGAGTTATCTAGTGAGAGAAGCAACGAAAAGTGCCCCTAATGATCCCGAGGTAATTCTGCAAGGATTTAACACTATGACAGAGCAACTCAGCCATCTTGCAGAAATGGTCTCAAAAGGAAATGTAGATTTTTTTATTTTAAGCAGCTGGATCAATACTTTGGATGCAAATGAAGATTTTGGGTGGGGAAAACGGGCTCTGTTTAGCATTCCAGGGATCGGCAGCCATAATCGAGAGTTGGGCAATGGTTTCGTTCTAAAAGAGGCTAGGCAGCACAACGCCATTGAAGTTTGGATTACTATATCCGAGAAAGAAATGGTTTTTCTGGAACGTGATCCCGAGTTCCTCGCATATGCTTCTCCAGGTTCTTACTTTGATAAAAGTGAGATCTAAACATAAACAAACAAGGAAGATGATTCCCAAACTTAAAACTATTGTTGCCAAGGCTAAGTAAGTTTCTTTGGTTTAATACTGTTGTGTTAATAATCAAAACTAATGTGTTCTGAAAGTTTCTTCTTGTTCTTGTCTTTGTATAATTTGCCTCAACAGAGGTTAATCTATGTTTGAATCAAATAAGGAATGAGTTTGTTTTCGTATACAAATAAAAGACTCTAGTTTTATTATAAAAGAAAAATCTAAAATTATAATTACAGTTTACGATTATAAGTATAAACTAAGCACATAATTAAAACATTTCCTATAATTATTAACACGGAACTAGCTACTTAAGATCTTATAAGGACATAAGTAAAAGGTCAAAAATCCATCTAAAAAATCAAACAAAATAAAGATGCAAATATATCTGGTTGAATCGGCAAACGAACCACAATAGAAGATCAAACTACTAAAAGGTCACCGATAATTACGAATTAGAATCGAGCGTCATGAGAATGCGAATCAAAATCGAGCGTCGTGAGAAAATTATCTCCGAACGTAAACCGTATATCTAAATTTATCCGAGAATCCAAAGTAGAACAAATCAACAAGATAACAATAGTGTTATTTTAATCGGTCGAGACGATGTTGAATCTAAACTTGAAAAAGTTAAACTATAAAATCGACCAAACAACTAATTTTACTTTTTAAAGGTATATGCAATTTGATTCAATTATTACAAAATACAACTATTTGTACTTTTTAAAGGTTTATGCAATTTGCTCGTGTACAAAACGATTATATATCCTTTAAAAACAAATTATGTTATATCCTTTTTTTTTGTTATATTAGAGTCTAGCTCATCAAAATCCTACTTAGAATCTTGTTTGTTTTACTGTAATTATTTTTTTAAAAATTATTTTTTTCTTATTTCGAATGTTTGGTTGACGGAAAATAGATTAGCTAATGTAATTCATTTTCTTAGTGAATAGAATTTCCTTTGTATATTTTGAAAAAAATATTTACGGCTTTATTTTTTGTAAGTCATTTTTCGAACTTTTCACTTCAAAACATAAATATTCAAAACAATTTTATTTATGTGTTTAATATTGATAATATTTAGTATCATTTCAATAAAAATGTTAATTATTAAATATTTTATTAATAGTTCTAACAATTATATATCCTTTAAAAGCAAATTATATTAAATCATTTTTTGTTAACTTATAGTCTAGCTCGTCAAAATACTATATGGTGTCTGTTTGTTTTACTGTAATTAGTTTTTAAAAATTTTTGTTTTCATTTTTTGGTGTTTGGTTGGAGAAAAATAGAGTACTTGATATAATTTATTTTATAGTCAATAAAATTTTCTTTGCATTTTTTGAAAAATGACTTATGGTCTAATTTTTCGTAAGTCATTTTCTGAACTTTTCACTTTAAACATAAATACTCAAAACACTATTATTTTATGTATTTAATATTAATATAACATTTTACTATCATTTTAATAAAAATATTAATTATTAAATATTTAGTAATAATTTTAATGATATAATATTGTTAATTGAATATTATAATTTTTAATAGTATAATGATATTCTTATTTTTAATAAGAAATTAATATAATTCATAATATTTATTATTTTAATAATATAATATAATATTTTTATTTTAATAAATAATTATATAACTTATAATATTTTTATTTTAATAAAATATATTAGTCTTGATATTTTATTTATAAAATTAAATAATATTTTAAAAGTAATATTGACATAAATTATATTAAATAAATTATTCTGATATTTTAAAAATAATTTTATTTTTCAAATAGATAATATTATTTATTATATTTAATATTTATAACAAATTATTTCTAGAAAATTTATCAATCAATAGAAATTGATTTATACAACATCATCCAAATATTATAAAATTATTTTCAAAAATTATTTTCTGAAATATTCATTTCATTTTACGAATATTATTTTCCAGAATTTATTTTTCATGAAACAAACATACTCTTATTATTAGACATAAAGGTCAGTTTACTCCTTAAAATATATATCTTTTATCGAATTATCCTTTAATTTTTTTAAATTATATCCTTAAAGGTCTATTTAAGGAGTATATATGTGTGTATGTATGTATGTATATATTTTAGTTTGTATATATATATTATCGAATAATACCTTATATCCACGAAGAGACAGCTTGATCTCAATGTTTGGAGGCTTTGATCTATCGTTGGAAAAATTCATTATGTCCCCAGGTTAATTAATTCCTTTTCATTTAGTAATCATAATTAATTTCCTTCAACTGAATCCTTTTAACATTTTATTTAATCCAATAGAAACCCTTACCTTTACAAGTTTTGAAATTTCAGTCCCAACTTTAAGATCCATAACTTCCCGGCCAATTTTCAGGGTGTTAAGACTCTCCTTAAAATAAATTCCTTAGAATATTTAGTTTCGGTATTGATCTCTAAAGTTTTATATTTACCCACTTTAGACTAATCTCAAATGATCATATGCAATTAAGTTATTTCTTCCACCACGTTAAGCATATTGGAATCACTAAATATAGATGACTCACCTTAACGAAAACGGATGTTATCTTACTAGAAAGCGACAATATTGACAAACTAGAGGTTAACTACTATCCTACAGTACTAGAGGAATCCTGTGATGCTAACTGAGTTATCAATGGGGTAAGGTCTATGAGTGAATATGTTTTCACTAGGCGGAACAGTAATTTTGTAGAAGTCTTCTAATAAAACAGGCATTGCTCGTTTTACTATGGAGTCAGAATTTATCACTTTCGACCTAGTTAGGCAAGTAACTAAGTGGCCCAGAAATTTATTAGCAAAATATCCATCATAGGGAAAACCGAGTACTTTGGTATCTTTATTATGCGATTCAAGGAAGTGATATGTATGACTCATAGTCTAGCTTATAATGGTAAGAAGAGACATATTCACTTAAGACATGAATCAATGAGACATTTAATAAAGAACAAAGTACTCTCTTTAGGGTATGTGAAGTCAAAGAGGAACCTAGTTGATCTGCTTTCCAAGGGTTTAAGTCGGAAGCTGATTATGAATTCGTTGAGAGTGATAGTTTTAAAGTTCATTGGTTGAAGAATTCATGGTTGATACCCAACTTAGTAATGTGGTAAAACAAAACAATGAAAAGACTCATAGTGTACATTTCTACATACCTATCCCTATTACAAATAATGTACATACACAGGATGAGCATTATTGCTTTTAATAAATTCATAGCCCAGGCTTTGAGTGGTCTTAGTGAGAAAGACTCGATGAATTTACCGTCTTTGGGTGAATATTTACTCTTAATAATTTCATAACCTAATATTTACTCTTAATAAGTCCATAACCTAGTGTTGAGTGAGTAGTCCTATCGTGAAGGACTAGATGAACTTACCATTAAAAAGGATGACTTTTCTTAAAATCCTAGTGAATTTAATCTCAAGAGTTTAGGTGATCCTATTTGAGAAGGAATTATTGAATTCATTGAATAAAGAGGTTGAGTATTTATTCTTAATGATTTCTTATCCTAAAGTTTGGATAGTTCATTTAATATAAACATAAAGAAATTCACCTTATTTATTGTGAGGTTAAGTTGTATTAAAGCTCTTAATTATTTCATAGCCCATATACGAGTGGTTTATTTTGAGATAAACCTAATGAAATAACCAACATAAGTGAGAAGGATTAGCCACCTTCGATGAAAAACGTTGGATCATTTTTTTCTAGTAAATTTACTAGAATCCTGAGGAAATAGGGTTATATATATACATTCGTATATATACTTTCGTTGACACATCGATGACTTCAATTGTTTAAAGGGTAGTTCTATATTATGAGTTCACCCTAATCTTAGAAAGTTCAAGGTTTGTTCACTTATCTAAGAGAAGAATTACTCATCATCACTATTTACTATTTTAAGATATGTTCACTAGTGCTTAAGCAATTAATCTCGCTATTGCTCTTATCGTGTATTAACTTCAATGCTCTCATTTTTATGAAAGAATTCTTTCGCATTAATGGGGAATGTTGTTAATGCTCAAAATTAAAACATTTTTAATGATGTTTAAATTTGATTTAAATAGCATTTTAATGTTGTTGAATAAAATGATGTTTTTTCCCTCACTATTTAACTTCTAACTAGTGGGTAAGTCTTCTTATTTGAGATATCTAAGCAAATATTTGCTTAGAAACACTCTTATTCTTCTTATTGTTTCCATGACGGTTTCAAGTTCAAATTCTGAGTTTTGAGAGAAGAGTAGTACCACCAAAGTCCACTCTATCTTTCGGATGTACGAAATTGGGAAAGTCATGCTAACCTCAAGGGGGGTATTCGTCCATTGTAGCAACTACACATATCGGCGCGATTTTGCTTCTAAGTGGTTAATATCATGACACGATTGAACGATTCCTTCTTTAATTATTTTTTTATACAGTTAGTGCTAACATCTCATTTTACAGTAATCTATTTTCTAATAGTTTAGAGTTGGGTTTAAGTTACAAATGCATCCACCTACCTTTTAGATTTTTAAAATTATTATTATATATTATTTAATATGTTTATCGAAATGTCTCTCCCTCTCTTTATATATTCAATTTTTTTGATCCTATTTTTCCCTTCAACTCATTATATTGATAGGAACATATAATTGTTGTTATCATTTAATTTTTCATCTCCTCGTGTAGAAGACTCTTATTTTGGATAAAACAACTATCCTATTCATAATCTTGGATATTCTCTTTCATCTCTTATAATTTCTTTTGCTCATTGTTGACGTTAGTACATTCTGACATATTTGACATGTAGCATTTGGATGAACTGATTTTCATTCTTCTCAGAGCTTCTTTAGTATGATGCCTTATATTTTTGGTCTACTTGATCGTGAAACTTCATATACATCATGAAAAGTAAAACATATATGGATTAGTACGCATAAGATAATCAACTATCATTAACCGATAAAACTCACAC